ACCTTTCAACCTACGCACAGCTGGAACAGTGAAATGCGATACACCTCTTGTTTTCTGTGTTGTGATTTGATTTTAATGTGGCATAGAAAATTCATGTCACAATGAAAAACAGTTCATTTTTATTAATAGAAAAAACTGAATATGTCCTTTAAACATGTGTTCTTTGTTTAATTATGACACAGCTGATACTAACATGTAATGGAAATACATATTGACAATGCGAATTGTATTTCACTTTTCAATTTCTTTCTTTTATTTTTATGTAGGCATTTTAAATCTTCCATAGCTTCTAACATTGTGTAGTGACAAATTGGGAAAGGACATGACATAAAGCAACAAAACAAAAGTGTACATTGCGTGATGTGACATTTAACACATAAGATGACTGACATGGGATTGTTTGACATGACATAGTCCATTGTAGCATAATCTGATTTGATATTAGGTGACACAATTAATGTAACAAACTAGGCTCCGTTACTGTGTGTGGGTGTGTGTGTGTGTGTATGTGTGTGTGTGTGGAGAGAGTCCCACCTGATAGCTGCTGTTTCTGGGAAGTCTTACTTCCTGCAGGGCATGGCTGTGCATGACCCCTTCCACAAACTCCAGGTGAGATCCCATGAGTGTGATCGTCCTCTTCCCACTACAGGACACAGAGCAGCAGAGGGATTTTCATACTGACACACACCTACAGTTAGTAGCACAAGTAAATATTATAATGGGAAATTAACATCATTTAAGTTTTTTTAAACATTTTCTGCTGCCAAACAGCCCAGTTGCTGCTGGAAATATGTAGATGAGATCAGATATCACAGTGTGGCTGTTCGGCAGTTATCCTGGGAGAGAATTGACTCAGCATCACTTTTTTTCTCTTTTTGTCTGTGTAGAATACCATGTACCTACATATCCAGTCATACCTGAGCCAGGTGCTGCTGGGTGTAATGGCGGTGCAGGAAGGTGAGGGGCGGTAGGTGATCTTAGCGTTGCCATGGCAACTACCATCTGGGAGGAGAACACATGCTTTGACCACGCCTTTATTTTCGTCACTGGGAATGTGAAACGTCAGATTCACACCAGTGTTGTTCCATACAGGAGATCTGACCAGAGCATACAGGATGAGAGAGAGAGAAACCAGTTAGATCAAGACTCACTCTTTTTTCACGTAGGGAACACAACAACAACAAAAATATGCTGACACCATGAAAGCAGCCGGAAGCGTAGCAGCATAATCTGCCTTAACATCAAACATACAAACAAACAAACATCAGCTATAATAACTGCTATCTTTGATATCATTTGTCATTTATAGTGTAAGGATAATCTCAGTCGCCCATACAGTGACTCACTCTTGTGCCGTGCAGTCCACGTCTGCCTGGATCCTCACTCTGGTTACACCACTAAGGTTACGACCGGACAACAGCACATGGTTTCTGCCGTAGAAAGACACGACACTGGGAGTGATGGAGGAGATCTCCGGTCTCTGACAGTAAAACACAAACAAAGATAATTAGTTTTAATTTTTATGAATGTGAATGAGGTGAGCACCAGGGGAAGAATGTGAGGTTCAGACTCACAGAAAAGTTCATCCCTGTCTCCATCATTTGGCAAACACTTTTCTGCAGGTGAAGTGAGAGAAAAAATTAAGCTGGTTGTAAGCGACATGTATGTAACGTGTTTTTTTTATTATCATGGAACAGAAATAGAAGATGAGGTGTTTTGGTTTAATGAGCAGTTAGCTTAGCTACTGATCAGTAACAGTTGGGCCAAAGTGCACTCAGTAACTCCCCCTGCCCTCATAATGAAGTTGCAATCTTTGTAAACTGTCTGAGCAGACAGTAGGGTGGTGAGTCAGTTGATATTAGCTTGCGTAGCTGACATTAGACTCAACATGTAAATAAGATTGTTTTGGTGTTGCCTTAAAGCACTTCTTTTTGTTTCTTTTAAAGGAGGAAAGCTGTTTCATCTTGTTTCCCCTTTGTTGTAAACTAGGCTAAATCCAGGCTGGGTTATTATACATTTCTTTAACATACAGATTGAAAAATAATAATTTAATATATATTTCCAAACATAAGACATTTTTAATAATGAAACCAGATAAAATAAATTTTTGCATGACTGAAGCAATAAATGTTTGGTAGCAGTAGTTCTGGTGTCATTAGTCTTAAAATGTTGTGCTGTTCAAATGTAGCACACGGAAAGTTAGCATACGCGCATGATGTCTGGAAAAGCCTATATTAGATAACACATTTAAAAAGACATAATTACATCCCCCACTCCTTGATTTGCCCAGGAGCAGCCGTTTGTGCTCCAGCCACATCCAGCCTCGATACACTGCCGACACCTGAGAGAAAACAAATGTTATCACCTGTTGTTGAAAACACTCGTACATGAATCATAATGCCTTGATATTCTTCCTGATGAAGAAACACGACCATTACAACCATGACGACTGTATGAGACTAAGTGGAGGGATATGGGAGGAGGGGTTAAATTCTTTTTAGCCTTTTTGTCTTTATACCTCACAGTCTGTTAATTCTGTTAGAGTTTTTTTCTTTTTGTCATTAGAGCTTCATCTGGTTCATTTCCTGTTAGCACCACAATGTGGCTTGGCTAAGTCTCATTAAGTGAAAGTAAAATTGCAGTCCAGTAACCCTATAGACACATTTTTGTCTTTAAAGTCTTCCTTGAAGGTTACATCTCAAACGTAAGCTGTTCGCCCATGTATTAAAACTGCATGGGAACAGGACATAGATTTTTATTTTTCATGACATTTCATGCCTGCAGTTAAAGTTCATTTTCATCAGTGATGCATCTGACTGATTATGTTTTTTCAACCTTCTTCTTCTGTCTTTTATGTTAAATGATCTTTCCACTTAGATTTCTAGAAAATGGCAGTGGACTTACAGGACAGGAGTCGTTGGTCCCCTGATGTCAGAGCAGTTGGATATCTTAAATCGTTCCAACAATTGTGTCATCCCAAGTCTAATCTTAACGGTGACACGCAGGCCTGTTAAGTGAAAATAATCCAGAGAATGTTACAGTAGTGGTCAGCAAGTTCCAGCAATACACATGTTTTTATTCAATAAACAATATATAACATGAGGCGACACAGATTTATCAGCAGGTAGAGAACATTTTTATCTGATAGGATTCTTGTGACGGTGTGAAGGTCCTTGATTATCAGGTATTTCATTCACCGGATGTATCAAAAGTCACTGACCTTCAGCAGGAAGTGTGCTTTTTTAAGGACGCAGGTGCATTGTGGGAACCGTGGAGGACTGTTTGCTGCACTACAAAGCTGGCTGGAGCTTGCAGAGAACTGACAGGCGAAGTTAGACAGAGCGCTCTGGCCCACAGTCAGGTGTGTCTGGATGCTAAGTGTGATCTGAGAAAGGAAGGGATGTGAGTTTAAAAGAGAAATAACTGACAGACACAACTGATTATAGTTCAAATCCTGGACGTAACCTGTACCTGGCCAGTGCTGTCCTTTACAACGCTGTAGGAAACCATTTTGCGTTGACGGGAGTCATCAGGAATGGACAACCAGTCTAAATTTCGGCACTCATCTTCAAATGTGCAACTAGGAAGAGAAAATGATGTTTTAACCAAGTTTATAATAGTTTGAAGATGTCAGCAGCAGATGGTGTTTCCCTGACCTTCTTTTAGAGCCACACCAGACACAGTATGGATCCTGTGCAGACCAGCAGTCCTGCACATTTGTGTTTGTGTTGCACTTTGACACAGGCAAACGTTTAATCTAGAACAGAACACAAACATTCAACAACACTTTGAAAGCATGGCTTAAATCACGACACTGTAAATTCAAAAATAACTGTTTATACATGTACAGTTCACCTACCAGGTTTTGAAATGGCACATAGACATGTTTACGGTCCACTTGATCCAGAAGTATTTTGGGGAACACTTGGCGGTCGTCACTGGCCCTGTAGAGCACCCTGGGACAGGTGGTGTGATAGTTCGTGTCCACAGCGAGCTGACAACAAGAATGTAGCTTTGTTATGTTTCAGAGACTGAGCTGCTGGGTACAGAGCCCTAGAGTGGGCACAGAAGAATATAACAATTTCTTCCAATGTTTTCATTAATTAATGCCAACTATACAGACAACTATACAGAAATCCAGCACAACAGACCAGCCCTGTTTATCAGAGTGCTGAGTAATGGGAAAAGTTTATTCTCAAGTACTGTGAGTTTGAGTCAAACACATACAGACTGTATTATATAGATTTTTAATATTGTGTCATTGTGATTTATTGTCAGTGTGTATAGCTCGGGTTGTGTCTGTGTTTCCCTGGGGTTGCTTTGTACAACAAACTGGTGCTGATTGTGAGCTGTAGTTTCTCTGGTAAACACGCCGACCTCTTCGGCTGTCGCAGTCCCTCCTACCCAGCCTGCTGCTGCTCCTCTCATGGTCACTTCTCCGGAGCCTTTTTGGTGTCAGAATGTCTCTGGGACAGGCAGAGCGGCTGCAGGGCCAGGCACATTTTTTCCCCTCTCTATGGAGACTGCAGGGATCTATAGCTGTGTTTTAGATGCAAAGCTGAACTGGAAAGACGCGACTATCAAACTAATACCCAACTAAAAGTATGATTTGAATGGTCACCAGCGTACACATGATGAGCTTTAGCCTTAAGGTTTATAATCTTTAATGACCTCCTTTTGTTGTTTTGTTGTTATTGTGTGTTTATGTGTAAAGTGTAGAGTCCTTGTGTTCCTTGAAAAGCGCTCTAAAAATACAAATTATTATTAATTATTATAATTAATTATTACAATTGTTATTATTAATTATTATTGTTATTATTAATAACAATTCGAGAACATTTAACTCTACAGCAGACAGCAAACTTGAACAACATGTTAAAGCAGCTCCAGTCACCAGCAGGAACTAACAATGAGAACTGCAGGAGATGAAGAGGGAGAAACGGCACCTGGACGAGAGAGATGTGACCTTCATCACAGTTTATTAAAGTGCAGCGCAGTGAGGATACAGACGTTTCATACGGATCTCTGACACTGTTAACTACGGAGCCCCTAAAGTAAGAATAGGTTTTAACTTATGCCAACAAGTTAATTATCAAGCTGCCCTCAAAGTGTCAAAAATACTTTATTTTAGGGGATCAGTAGTTAGTAGGGACTCCAGTGTCCAGTGTAGATCAGAAACCACAAAACATCTGGATTCTTGATCAAAGAGTCTTTATATGCGTTCACACTTCTGTCCATTTCCACGCTCCATCTCTCTCACGAGCATGAGCTGTCTCGCTTGACATTGATGAGCGCATTGACTTTATGAAATGTTGAACATGTTGCTAAAACCAAACCTTGCTTATCGTGTCCCTCTTGTATTCTGTCTTATGGCTTCAGCTGCAAAACATTTACAGCAGTTGAACTATGGGGGATCTTTCGGTAAGGTGACCAGATTTCTGAAATGAGAACCGGGGACAGTTTTGGTTTGGTGGTCAGTATGTCATTAAAAAATGATAATAAAAAAGGGGGACAATTTCTGTTTTATAATCTGTTAAATGTAACTTCTGAATGAAATTAAGTCATTTGAGGCAGAATCTATAAGTTATTCAGTCAATAAGTAGAGGCTGCAATCTCTTTCTGACAAGTGGAATACTGCATTTTATGTATTGTTTTGTATTTTGTATTTTGTATTTTAAGAGGTAAAAGTACTAGTTGAGTTATATATAATCTGTCAAATAACTTCTGAATGAAATCAAGTCATTTTGAAGCAGAATCTACCTTTCAGTCAATAAGTAGAAGCTAATCACTTTCTGGCAAGACTACTGCACTACTTGGGTTGTATTGGCCATTTAAAGGTATTTCAGCAGGTAAAAAGGACCGGATTGGTTGGTGGATAGACTCCGTGACCTTGCCAACAACAACAACTCATGCCATACTACATTTAAAAAGCATTTCTATTGAAATGCGCGACACAACGTGAACTTACCTCCATCTAGCCTGTACACGATACAGCTCCGTCTCCGGAAAGTGGACGGAGCCGTCGGAGCGAGGGGATTGTGGGCGTGGCCATGCGTTCGATGCAAACCCATGATTGGTCAGTCAAACCACCAATAGAATCTCTTATTTAGACCTTTTTGACTCACAAAACTTTTGAACTTGCAAAACTATTTAACTTGCAGCACTTATTAACTTGCTAAACTTTCTGCCTCGCAAGGAAAACTTTTTAACTTGCAATCAATAAGCACAAATTAGCAATTAAAACTTTTTGTGACACAAAAAAAGGCCTGTTTATTTTTAATCACATACTTAATTTTTGATTTCAATGCGATAAATATGCTCTCTTTTTTTGCTTGCATTAAAAAGACACAAAATACCTTCATAGGTGGACACCACAGAGCTAAAGAGGCGTGCTTGGCAAGTACAAGCAGGAGAGGACAGATGCAGAGACTGCTAGCAAAAATCTCTTTTCTTGGTAAGTTTATTATTGTTAGCAAGACAACACAATTGTGTAAGTTAACAAAAGTTGAGCTCACTCTGGGTTTGGAAATATTTTCCTTGGTGGATAGCTCTGGTGTGCATTAGCTAATGCTAGCACGTGGATTAATATATTTGTTAGCTAACATTAGGTAGCATTTTAATAGCTTCATTATCGGGACAGTGACTTTCGTCTGCCTTATAAACAGTGTTGGGAGTAACGCGTTACAAAAGAAATGCAAATAACGTTACAGTAATGTGTTGCTTTTTGCTGTAAGGCAGTTTTTAATGTTACTAAAATTTCGGTCATATACAATGCACATGTCAAAACACATGTCCATGTTTACAGTAAGTTATCATTATTCCTGCCCATGTAGTCTAAAGACATCACCACAGTTGTCATTTTTGTATAAATTCATTCTAAAGTTTAGCTGAAGCTACTATGAATCATCAGCTAAGCATCTGTGTTAGACTATTCAAAAGTGGATATCTTCTAAAGGTACACTGTTTTTAGAGATTTCTCTTCACTGCAACCATGGAGGGGGAATTATTACAGTGACCAATAACTCAGTTTTAACAGCATTGTTAAAGTGTACACGGGTATGTGAGAATTGTTTTAAGACGCGCTTGAAATAATGTTTTTATGTACTGCAATGCCTGACCACACGATATAATAGCATGTGATGTTATGTAAAATACTGCTCAACTATGTCCATTTGTATGGTCATAGATCCTGTATTCAATTTTTAAAAGTTGAACCTACCCTTTGCCAACTTTAACCAACTTAATGCTAAACCCAGAGTTGGAATTTCCTGCCTTAGCTCAAGAAATTAAATAAAGAATAATAATAAAGATTTGCTATAAGAATAGAATTACAGTGTTTATAATGATACGCAAATGAAGAACTAAACTAGGTGGAAGTACTGGCCTAACTGAATATTTATTATATCTCATTTGTAACTGCATTTCTTTTCTTTTTCGGCTTCCTGGGATCATTGCCTCACTCAGATGGCTCAGAGGCCACGAAAACCTCAAAGGACCAGCTGGACCCTCACAAGCTCAATGTGCTCATAGGTATGTCTGGCTCCTGCACACCACTGTTCTTGCTCTCAATACATGTCAACGGGGTCAGACTAAATAAACAAATATTCTACATTAAGTAAATGGCTACTTTTGTACTTCACAAATTGACTGTTGTGTTAATGTGAAATGACATAGACAGAACAGTTGTTAAGCAAATCTGAATGTACCTGTTTAATAACATTTTATCATATACAGCTCCTTGGCTGAATGTACAGTATGTTTATGTAATGTTTTTGATCATGTTGTAATGGAAGAACTGAACATTAACTGGGAGGGGTCCCTTGTGGAAAACCATTTCACCTGAACCTAAACAGTTAGCATTATCAGAACAGTTAGACATGATGTCATATTGTGTTTCAGCAACTTTAAACAAAATAAAAAATGGTTGTTAATTAATTAGAGGTAATATTGCTTTGAGATAGGCAAAATATTTCCTTTTGCCTTCCACAGATGCTGTGAGATAAAGCAGTTTCCAAATCCCATAGTGTCTGCAGTCACAGAAAATGCAACGAGTCCTACTCAAAGATACCGATCCTCCACTCCAAGGATAAGGATAGTGACATTTTTCAGTTTCAGTTTGGTTCCACCATTTGTACTGTATGCTTGTGACGGAGTACCTTCACTACAGCTGAGTAAGTGCTTGGACTGCCATACCAATGAGCCTGGCTCTTTGGCGTTGCTGTCAAAGTTGCATATTTGGTACCCTGTAGGCCTGTGTTTGAATCTGGGCAGGGTGACTGCTCTCGCCTTTGGCCACATATGGTGTCAGAAGTGGGACGGCTTGCCGTGAGGTCATCTGAGCCGTGCCCAGAGTCCGAACCGTATAAGGGATCCCCATGGATAACATTAATGATGTGATGTGTATAGTGTACTTTTCAGTAATACTGATCATATGTCATCATTTTACTGATTTTATTTTATTTCAAGGTATTTTGGTCAGATGTGATACATGCTGCTGTACCTTTTAATGTACAGAAATTTATTTTTGTAATGTACACAAAATTAAAGTTTTTTAGTTGTCTGTATGTGTGTTGTAAAATACATTTTAAACTGACTTTTATTATTATTCTAAAAGGGAATATTTTAATGCATTAATAATGCATTATTCTCATACTGAATGGTTTCATAAAGCAGCTTCCCAATATATTAATAGTGGCTCTTGAAGTATACTAGTAATAAATTACTAATATGCTGAAATGCTAATAAAAATGTTCAGGGAACACATTTAAAATATATTTAAACTGTTTTTCAAGTATAGCACAAAAGGCTATTTTAAGTTAAATTTAAAAAAGTATATTTAAATTACAGTAAAGGTACTTAAAATAGGTCCATTTTAACTAAGTATATTATAATATATTGCAATTATCTTAAAGTTGACTTTAAGTATTTCTAAAATGACACTTAACATACTTTTAAGTTGTTCCAAAATAACACATTTAATATACGCTTAGTATAGTACAATTCAAATATAAGTGAATCCAAAAAAGTGCTACTTAAGTATATTTCTTTTTTACTAGTGTATCAAGGCCACTATGACCGCAGGGTATTTAATTTTTTGAGGGATATAAAGCCAAACGGTGGCCATGGCCTTCATGGCCTCAGTGAAATCCTGTCCTGGGTGTGAGTGAATGCGTTTAAAGAGGCCCTGCAAGAGTTGGACATTATTTTGCAGACTCTTAGAAGATTTTAAAAACTTCCAGACTGAAATAATCTGAAAACACCCCTGCACTTATAAAGTAGTAACAGAACGAGGTAAAAAAAAAAAAAAAACCCATTACGGTTCCCAAATAAAATTATAACAAGCATTTTAGAACATATTTTCATGCTTACCATTTATTTTAAATATATTTTCAGCTGGTGAAAAATCACTTCTTCACATCACTGTAACATCACTCAAGTTACTTTAATTACTATTTAATGAGTAGAACTACATATCTTGTTGCATAATCTTTTGCAATTTTACTGGACAGAATGCATATCACTTTTATACACACCTTAATGAGCTGCCCATCTCCTGTCCCAGTGAAGAAAACCATCCAGGTCTTCTGTCTCACTGCCAGCACAGAGGTCATGTAGTTCTGCCTGATGAGCATTGCCTTTGGCTTCAGAGGCTTTGGCTGAGACACAAACACATTTATTATCACTTTTAGATCCAAAGGTGTTTATGAATTCTGAAGTGAAGAACTTTCAGGTTAGAAACATATTGACAGCACTTCATATTAAACTATCTCAAAGCTTCAGTAGATGTGTGTTGCTATATTACATTTAGGAGCCTAAACACCTTCAGTCAGGACTTATGGAAGTGCCAGTTGAAATGAGTATTTTTGTGCAGTTGTCTCAAACTATTTTGACCTCTCACTTCTTTTAGACATAAAACTATTTGGAATTAATTTTGTTTTAAAGTCAAGGAAACTTATTTGCTTAATCAAATGAGCTTTTAGACATTGTGAGAATCTTTGAGTTTGTGTCCCCAAAGGAAATAGGCATTATGCGAATCAGAGAACTTGCTTTAAACACATAATGACATTTATCTAAATTAGTAAAATAGTCGAACATTTACTTTAACTCCATAAGTCAAACAAGGTTCGTTGGATTGTTTTTGTTACAACTTTATAACTTTCTAGAACTTTCAAGATGAACAAATCAGGACCCACCGTGGATCTTGACTTCTCAGGACAGGTGATGCAGAAGTCTGGATCCGCATCGGCCGCTCCGGTGAGATCAGGGCTGACGTCAAACACTACCAGCTCGGTGTCGGTTTGTCCTCCGTCCACACTGAACACGCCGCTCCAGAGCACCGGCGGCCCACCCGGGATCACCGAGGAGGCCACGAGTCTGCTGCCTTTACCACCATCAGAGATACTGAGAGTCGCGCCCCGCAGCGACCTGAGAGTCTCTGCTTTGCTTGTTTTTCCCTCAAGCCAAATGAGACGGACTTTGTTGCCTTTGTCCTCTGATGGCACGTTGGAGAAAAGATAAATGATTGAATTCTTTTGAAATCCATCCACAAACACCACCTCGCCTTCATGTATGATCACAGGTTTAGTATTCTCCCCCTAATGGAAAATATTTCTCCCGTCTGCTTGTTGTTCGTATTATGAAGGTTCACAGAAGCTGTTTCAGAGAGGCAGCTGGTCTCTGTGGTTTTGTCGGGTTGCTGTAAGGCAGTCAGAATATAAGTCTCGGGCCGGGTCCGAGTCTTCTCCACATCTACCAGGAAGCCGACGGACGCGTTGCTGCGCCCTGCGGGCCCCACCTGGATGTGCTCCCTGTACAGCACGTTGGAAATGTTCTGCAGGTCCAGCAGCTCGCAGTAGCCGCACTTGATCACACCGCAGCTGATCACAGTGTTGTTCTCAACAAACGGCAATAAAATGTTGACACCGAAAGTTGCGTTCCATTCATCCGTCTCAGAAACCCGGTAAAACTGCTCATCACCGGACTCAGGCCCCACCTTCAAGATTCCTCTCTGGGTCAGACTCTGGGTCAGAGTCAGGTCGTGGCTCAGCTGGTACAGCCTCTCCTCTGTAGCGATGTAAACCGTGTTGGTGGCCACGGCGAAGTGGCGGAAATCTCCATGAAATGTAAAGCTTCCTCCCTCTTCCAGGCACCGACCCGGTTCTCCCCAGAGAATGAGCAACAGACCAGACAGCAGGATCATCTTCTTGCAGCGGTGGCAGCAAAACGCTCACACAATGACGGTCTTCGTGGCACTCTGCTCTCTGTCACTGGAGTTGTGCGTAATTTGCGCAGTGTCCCTCAGTCAAAACATTCAAGAGAAAATGTGAGCGCATTAGATGAGGAAAAGGTCGCAGAGCAAATATGAGCAAGATTCTTTTGGTTAATAGAGTGGAGTAAAGCAGGTAAGCCTGTGAAATTAACAGCAAAACGGAAAGTCAGTTTTTGTTTGTGTTGAACAGCACAGGAACATAATGCTAATCATATCCTGGTCACAGTGGGCTGCTCCTACTCCTCCTCTCTCATCTCCATCACCTTCTCTCTTTCTTTTTCTCTAAGTCTAATCATCTTGTACCATATCTTTTTCCTTCCCAAAGCTGAGCTGTGACTGACAGAGTCTTTTTACAGTAGCTATTTTATCTGTCTTAGTGAAGATGGTAATGGTAAGATAGTAAATGCATTGAAATCTTTTTATCAATGTTACCGGCCTTGGCTAGGATAATCTTCCAATGAAAATGGATAAATAAATCGGTTACTCATTTGAACATTCATTTCCACCCTTTGCACAAACTGAATTTTAAAAAAGCATTTAAACTTTCATTGATTCTTTCATCAATCTACTATTGGATGGATGGAATTAACTTGAGCTGGATAGTTAAAGGTTCAGTGTGTAAGCTTGGTGGCAACTAGTAGTGAGTGCTGCAAAATTGCAACCAATGGCTTACTCTGTATTCATTTGTTCCTGGCATGATCCCATTGCCCGTGTTGGAAGTTAGAAAGTGGAATCAACATGAACGTTGCAAAGATGTGTTGGATTAGCATTATCGGAGCGTATATACAAAACGCAGACATCTACAATATTATATCAATTTTTTTTCTAATTCAAACAACCTAAAGGCTGTCAACATATGGTCCTCTTTTAATATCTTTATATAATAATGACTTCCCCTGGCAAAGTTTTTATTATTTGTGTCTTCTTATAAATCTGTGTTCTGTATACTTCTTTATGCCCCATGTACACTTTATTCATCTTTTTGCAATAAAGAAAATAAAAACAATATTTTGATTATTCTGACACCACACCTACTTATAAAATGTAGTGACGAAACGAGCTCTGTAGAGAAATATGTCCTTTTGGGCTAATGTTGAAACATGGTTGGCACTACATGGCGACTTCCATGTAATAGTATGTAGATAGAAATGGCTCATTTTAAGGTAAAAAAAAACCCCATAACAGTTCTTTATGTTTTATACACTGCTGAAAACATAGTTATGTAGGGGAGACCAGGTATGGTTGTAAAACGGGGAGAGTTGTAACAACACCAATTCCACCAAATGGAGATGAGATGGGAGTTAGGTGATCATTTCAGTATTTACCTTTTCCTCCCCAATCAGGCATGGTGGTTATCAAGTCTGGAAACAGGCATATTCAGAATATATAGAGAAAAAAATGATTTTGAGGTAAGAAAGTAAAGTTTTTGACTTTACTGACTATTTTAGTTTTTGACTATTTTTTGTTTAGTATCTATACTATTGCAGATAGAATTGTTTCACTTATATTAGATTGGAATATAGGTTCTCAGGCAACATGTGATGTATTTTTTCCTTTCTAATTTCAAACCGCTATGGTAATACAGCTAGCTAAACATTGGCTGACAGGGGTGGGGTGGGTTGTAACACATCTTTAAAAAGTGTTACAACCATCCATGATACATAAAACTAGGTACTTTCTTGATTTGAATATTACCATATTGCCCTATGCAGTCTGGGCCCCCAAACCTGCACTCCAGGATTTCCAGCATTAGTTTGTCAGCACTGTGACCAGTCCTCCCCATTCACATGTTGGACACATGTTGGCGTGTGTATCGTCACTCGACCTGTTCCATACTCCATATGGTGGAGAGGGTAGAAAAGTGTATGGGCAGCTTGTGGGAAGTGCCTGTGCGCAAGAACGCCAAAGAGTAAAACATAGAAGTGCTGGTATACGTACCGGTGAATACCGGCCCACTTCAAGCACTGACTGTGACTGTGAATAAGAACACACACACACACACACACACACACACACACACACACACACACACACACACACACACACACCTCTTTTTAGTTAGACCTAAAGATGTACAGAGATGTTCTTTAATTAATTACATTTTAGTAGTATGTATTAAGTATACTTTTAAGTAAGTTTATTCTATAGATAAATTACATACACATACTTGTACATGCGTGTGAGTCTGTTACAGCAAGAGAGAAACATTGTTCTTTTATTCTTTCTTTTAGTGTGGCATCTATTTCAGATTCTTTTGTGTGATTGTTACAACTTACCCCAGCATGTGTTACAACCTACCCTGCTATTGGGGTAGGTTCTAACAACAACACAATGCATTTGACATCAACTCACGAGGTCTGTGATATTCTTGTGCCATTTGTAGTGAACAAATGTGGGTACTTTGTATAAAAATTTGAGAACTCTAGCTAAAAAATTCAGTGAGTTATAGTTACTGAAGTAAAAAGTGTTACAACCATACTCGGTCTCCCCTACAGTATATTATTACATTTCTACAAATAGATCCTCCTAAAGTTTTACACACTGGACATTTAAAGCAGGCATCATAATGGATGGCCACTGTTTAACTTAGTGTCGCTGAATTGTATCAAAAACCTGCTAGTAACATTCTCTAGTTACCCATATCATGCTTCACAGCAAGAATGTTTTGCTTCTGAGAGACTGAGCTGCTGTCTTTTGTTGTAGGTGCAAAGCAAAGCTGGACTGGAAAGAGGCAAAAAGGCATAATCAAACTAACAGCCTACTCCACTGAAAGTTGTCTATGATTTTGTGATATGTTACCTACATCCTGAAACTCAGCCTATTTAACCATTAAAACATTTTTCCAACCACAAATGCTGCTTCTGAAAAGTTAAATAAACATCATGGTCAACAACTAACACTGCATTTGCAACTTCTATAAATAGAACATCTGTAGGCGACTAGAAAACAGCAAAGCTATGCTTCCTGCCAGTTGAAATGCGGTGACTCTGTAGAAGTAGCATAGCTTTATGTGGTCTATCTGTGGCCTCACACTAAGCTGTAAACCTGACATGCATGCAACGCATTGGTTTCTGCGGTAGACGCTGGCAGGGATGAAGGTGGAGAATGTGTGTGAGAAAAGGTTCTTCTGGTGAAGAGAAGAAATGTATGAGGTCTACCGACATTCACAGTAAAGGTGCATAATGGCTGCTAATGTTTCATTAATGATGTTAATGAAACATTAACCTGCCATTCTGGAAAATGTGCATCATTGTTGTTATTACAAAAACAGTTAGATATGAAGATACACATAAGTTTAATTTCTGTGCGTTTAATACAGAGCTTTTTGAGACATTAAACTATCTTACTACAAACAGGGAGACAGACTAATTTAAAGTGAGGTGCATTCCAACAACAAGCTGTCTGATTTACATATTGTATGTGTGTGTTAATTGTCTAGACTGAAAATGAGACATTTTGGTTTAACAAGCAGTTATCTTAGCTAATTACTGATCAGCCACAACTGCTGACACTATGTTGCTTTAAAGTTGTTAAGAATTATAGTAGGCCTATGTCATGTCATGTCATGTTCAACAGTATTTAATATGACATTCTGTCAGCGCTGTTCCTGTACGGTTTGAAGTTAGCCCTGACGGCAACTGCATGGATAACTTCACAAGAGAACAGATTTGACACTGGTTTGTTGGTGACATAATAAATATTACTGTACATTGTTGTGAGAATGAGATAAATGTGAAGAAAAGGTCATTGGAAGCAATTGGTTCTGCTTCTTGGGGGGCCTTCTTAGATACTGTTTGACTACCTGACACATATACAAGCGATAATTGTTGACTGCTTAGCTCAGATTGCAGAAGTACAAAGTTAAAGTAAGAAAGATGTGTTGCTTGGTATACTGTTTTATATTTTAATGTGTCTCTGCAGTCTCTTTTGTGCTGACCTTTGCTTTGCCTCCGGAGACTTATGGTTGTACATGATCATATTTCAGATTAGACGTTGATGTCCAGTAAAGAGGAAGTGAAAGTCCGCTCTTGCAGGCAACTGGACCCTTTAGATAAATATGACAGAGGCGTGAAAGGAGGTGCGAAAATAAGAAGAGGGTCCAGAGTTTTCATTTTTTAAATCTATATTATTGGAGTTTATAATATTCATTAATACATTTAAAAACTTGTTTTTTGATGTCTGAATAACTGGTTTGATCATCAAAGAAGGCACTATATGCTAATGTGACATCAACAGTTGTTAAAAGATAAGCACCTTCATTTTGTGACTATAGGAGCAAGGGAGGCCTTTCTCTCCTTTTGAAGCCAGAAAGAAATGAGGAGAATGAGTGATGACATGAATTGACATGAATTTAATGTACTCTGCATTTGGAGTGATGTATTTAAAACTGATTTTGTTTTTTTTGTCCATGCATTTAAGATTATAGAAGAGAAGGGATGTTCATGTATTTTGTTTGAGAAGTGTGGCCTACTATATTTGGCCTTTATGTGTTAAACATTTAAAGGATTATACGAACATGAGTTCTAGAGACTTGCATGATATGTTTTATTACCTTATTTGGAAAATTGTTTGTGAACTGAGGCAAAGGGGTGTTGCAACTACTGGACAGAAGGACCATAAAATGAAAAGTAATGTAAAAACCAATCAATGTGATGATCAAGTCCTGATAGCCAGTGATTGTTTGAGAATTGTTGATTGTTGTCGATTTCTTTATTTAAGTTGCTGACCCCA